TCCCCTCCCCCCCTTTTGCGGGGCCTCATTCGTATGTAACTCGATTTTCAATTAGTAAAATAGACATTAAACACGTGATTCTTACTCGGTAAGAGAGGCCTTGGATAATCGAGGGGACCTGATTGAACAAGGATAAGGTCAACTTTCTGGTAAGTCTCCTGGAGAGTTTTCTCTGGTGTGATGTTGTGCTTCTTCTTCAGTGTCTCATAGACTCCGTCAATATTGTAAGGAGCTATCGTTTGAATAAGGCATAGCACAGTGTTCTCTACTCTCTGTAGAAAATTCATGTGGTCGGTGAAACCTGAGGTGAACTGGGGTTGGTAAGAAGGGAGGTTTTCAAAGTTCAACGGTAATATTGAACCGGAACTAAGTGGACTCATCAAGACTGTAACATGAGGTAAGGAGAACTTATCGGCGATCAAAAACGAACACAAGAACAGCGCATCTCCAATAACAGCATCGGAGGATTTGATTTGGTTCATGAAATCAGGGTTGCTGAGTATTGCATCGCAATTGTACAACCATAACTTCATTATGTCGTCTATCTTGGTCACGTCAAGTTTGTTGATATCATCCGGGGAACTGAATGTTAGAACACGTGGGTCTTTTGCAGCATACGTCTCACGTTCTCCAACGACAATCAGCACCTTGTAAGGAAAGAATACAGTAAGAGAGGCAATAAAGTGGGGTCCGATTTTGATTGTCTTAGCCGTCATTAGATACCGCAACCGCGAAAACACACATCACACCTAGCCTGTGCAACTAGCACTGAGACATTTTTTGAGTTGTAGAGGAGTGCATGAAGACGAATACACGCGAAACAATAGCGTGACTCTTTGGCCAAGTGTTTTCTAAGCGGTCTAAGAAATGAAATAAAGACAAACAAAAAACAAGGCATTGGGAAGAGTAATAAGTCCTGGTTTACTAAGATAACATTCACTGAAATGATTAGTTTGGAAGGAATGAGTCATATTTCATGTTTTTGAGTGGACGTTCTGCTCACGGGAAGAAAGAAATTGCTTCAGCTTATCCTGACACTCAGCCTTCTGAGAATAAATTAAACTTGTGGGCCTTAAACCCCATTAGCTACAACCAGGGTAGCCTGCGTTTGAAACACTGCACTTTACGTCGTATTACGGCGTCATTTCCTGTCAAGAGCATTTTTTTTAATGTTGAAAACGTATTAGCTTACTCAACTCGCCAGTATATCGATCAAGTTGTTTTTGGTTTCCCTGGCAGTTCGAGTTTGTAGGGTCAAGAGAGGATGACGTGATTCATTCTTAACCACCAAATATTTGAGATGAGTTCGGTTTTAAATTGTGTGAACAGGGTCGGTCAGTGCCTTTAAATAATGTGCAGTTGAAGTGGGTAACAAATTCTGCAGCTTACATGACACACTTTACATTTCAACCGCTGTCTTATCATGAAACTCTAAAAGGCCTTTGATGCAAGATAATATTGGTTTGAAATCATTATTAAATATTTTAAAACTCACATTTTATAAGTAAAAGTAATCACATGATTTCGAGTGCAATTTTTGGATAAATCACCACAAATAAATTTTTCAAACGCTTAGCAAATTGCACAACCCTATAAGACGAGTGCAGTTTGTTGTCTTTGTCAACTCTCGGAGAATTTTGTTCAGAGCCTCCGGTTCCTACGAATCAATACTTTTGTCATAGCCGATTTTGGAACCTCAAGACTTCCCGACTTTTAGCCAGTCGTTTTGCACTTCGTTAGAAGTTTTTGTGCTGAATTAAAACGTTGTTACTTTCTCATAGTTAACCTGTCCGCTATTTTGTTTTGTTGTGCTTTTGCGACTCTCCAGTCAATCAATTTAATTTCAACTTTCTGCACTCAGTTTCAACTTTCTGAACTGTTTAGGTTAAATTGACGAATTCTCAACCAATGAATATCGATAATTTTTGGCATGCATTTTATCAAACGGGCAGAAGGTCAGATGAAAACTGTGCCCGAGGTCTCATGAATGACCCGAAGGCGGGGTAACGGATGAACTGGTCCATTTCTGACATAAAGCTTTACCCTTTGGAACATAGTGCATTGAAATGCCCAGTTATGTGAGAAATTCATGCCGCTAACATTATTTGGAGAACCAAAAATGTAATAGATCTCTTCTTTATTTTTCCTTTCGATCTCCACCGTTGAATTTGCTCCATCACTACTAAATATGCAGATGCAATGTAATTGTTCGTGTCGTAGGCTTAGTGGCACGAGTTTTTTAGCCGCCAAATCGGAATTATTGGTCACAGACAGGTCGCAAGGCACTCGGGTCGCTTATCCCAAATTTGAAATGCAACTATTAAAAAAAAAACACGCCAAAAATTTTCGCTTTAAAGGCACAGTAGTATATGTGTAGAAATCCCTACGCTTCGATTTCCTTCAGTGACAAGCCACAGATTCTTGAACTGCGATTCCTAAATGCACTAAATTTACCTCGTGTCCTCTGTTTTCCAGCTCTTGCCCAAGCCTTGCATGAACCAAGTAGTGACTCTTACCAGCCATTGGAATCATCGCAAATTTTGCAGCAAAGCTAATAGTTTGATATGCAAACAACAATACGATGCTGCACGTAAGCGGTTGACTGAGCATCAAAGTCATGATCCAGAGATGCTGGTTTTAAAATGTCGTCAGTATAGGCTTCTCGAAAAGCACTATGCGTTTCGCGAAAAGCAGCTCGTTCTGTGGTGCGTGGTTTCTTTTTGGATACTCAGTTATGTGAATGTTTGCATTTGACTTGTACATGTACAAAATACATGTTGCGTGACATTACTGACGGATATAAAAAAGGTATTCCCTGGATATCAGGGAATGGCTTTAACAGTTGATTGCTATTTTTTTCCTATTGTGATGGTTGACAGTTATTTGGAAGATATTTTCTCTTTGAGTTTAACCCAATATCAAGTTCTTTGTTTTTAAATCTTTTAAATACGAACTGACGTATTATATTCAGACCACGACCTATTCAGTTTTTCTCGAAGTTACGTGAAGCTTACTTTTAAGACCTTGACCTAAGACCTTTTAAGAACAATAATTACTGATTGTTTTCAAACAATACGTTAGTTCCCGCTGATGTAGGCTTTAAAAATTAACCGAAGGTGAACACAGTTAGCTTCGCACTTCTTCACTCAGGAAAGGTTGATAACTTTGAGATATTAAACAGCTATGGAAAAGCATAGCTATGTTCGATATTAGGCAACAAACGGCTCATTTTCTTAAATAACCTCAAAATTAAGAAGATATCATGCCGCAGTAACATTAAATCTATACCTTTGGGCTTGTTTTGTGTTTCTTTTATTTTAAGAAAAAGTAGCATAGTCTTTGAAAATAAGCATAATTTTAGTGTTGGTTAACCATCAAAATCAAAAGACTAAAAATATAACTGTCAACCGTCAAACCCTCCTCCTAACATCTCTATAAACCATTTGTGAAGAGAGACGTTCTACAGTGATTTATTTACAATTAATCTGAGCTTACAATTAATCTGCTTTTTGCAGTGTTTATTTCAATCCCCACATAACTACATGCACAGCCGATTATATCAAAACTGAGAACACTTTCGTGATTTTGAGTTTCCATGTATTTTCTCTCCTCACATAAACCTACGGTAACTGAAGGGAACCAGGCTTCATTAAAACCTGTAATTCATAAGATCAGCTTGTTAATTCTTCCCTCCAGCTGCTGCCGATTTCCTTCCAAATTAGTCGCAAAACTTTGGTGCCAGGTCGAGATAACAACTTTATTTGATAAGTTTGGGTATTCTCATTACTTGTTTGTTGGATGATGTATAGGTGTTATAGGAAGAATTTACAAGTTAATCGCTTCTGGGAGTCAAAGAGTTAAGGA